GGGTTTTTGGTGCACCTTTGGCCGGGGGGCCCTGCTCGGATCCCGGCATGGAAACGTCGTCGTAATCGTCCTCGAAACTGTCGGGAGAGGCTGGGGATGGGGAAAAACGGGAAACATGGGAAAAATGGGGGAAGAAATGGGAAAAATTGAAAAAATGGGGAAAAAACGGGAAAAATGGGAAAAATGGGGGGAAATGGGGGGGAAATGGGAAAAAATGGGAAAAAATGGGGAAAAAATTGGGGGAAATGGGCGAAAATGGGGAAAAATGGGGAAAATGGGGAAAAAAATGGGGGGAAATGGGGAAAAATGGGGAAAAATGGGAAAAATGGGGGAAAAATGGGAAAAAATGGGGGAAAATGGGGAAAAATGGGAAAAAAATAGGGGGAAAATGGGGGAAAAATGGGGAAAAATGGGGAAAAATAGGGAAAATGGGGAAAAAATGGAGGAAAATTGGGGAAAAAAGGCGGAAAATTGGGAAAAAAAGTGAATTTACCTGGTCTGAAATCACCCACCGGAGACATCTTCCCGGCCACGGAGTAAATTCCTGCAAAAAAAGGGAAAAAATGGGAAAAAAATGGGAAAAAATGGGAAAAAAATGGGAAAAAATGGGAAAAAAAGGAATAAAAAGGGAAAAATAACAGGGGGGAAAAAAGAGGAATAAAAGGGAAAAAATGGGGGGAAAAAAAAGAAAAAATTGGGAGGAAATTGAGGGCGGGAAAGGAAAAAAAAAAGGGAAATAAAGGGGGAAAAATGGAAAAAAATGGGAAAAAGGGGGAAAAGGATGGGGGAGATGGAAACAAAAATGTAAATAAAGGGGAGAGGGGGAGGGGAAATTGGGGAAAATGGAAATAAAAGGGAAAAAATGGGAAAAGGAGAGAAAAAATGGGGGGAAATTGGGGGAAATGGGAAAAAATAAGGGGGGAAATGGAGGAAAAAAGGGGAAAAAATTGTGAAAAAATGGGGGGAAAAGAGGGGAAAAATGAGGGGAAAAAAGGGAGGAAAACCGGGATAAAATGGGAAAAAAGGAGGGGGAAAATGGGGAAAAATTAGGGAAAAAATGGGGGGAAATGGGGAATAAAAGGGAAAAAAAATGGGAATAATTTGGGGGAAATGGAGAGAAAAAAGAGAGAAAATGGGGGAGAAAGGGGGGGAAATGAGAAAAAAACAGGTGGGGTAAAAATGGGGAAAAAAAGGTGAAAAAAAGGGGGAAATATGGGGGAAAAAATGGGAAAATTGGGAAAAAAATTGAATTTTTTTGGGAAAAATGAGAGGGGAAAGGGAAAAAATGGGGGGAAATTGGGGGAAAAGAGGAAAAAATGAGGGGAAATGGGAGAATTTGGGGTTTGGCACGGAAAAAGGAAATTTAATCGGGAAAAAAGGGAGAATTTGGGGATTTATGTCAGAGGAAAAACTGGGGGGAAATGGGAGAATTTGGGGTTTGGCACGGAAAAAGGAAATTTAATCGGGAAAAAAGGGAGAATTTGGGGATTTATGTAAAAAAAATGGGAAAATTTGGGATGTACCCTCCCAAAAAGGGGGAATTTGGTCTGAAAAAATCGGAATTTTTTCCCCAAAAAGCAGAATTGGGATTTGTGTCCCCAAGGCCAGAAAAAGGGAATTTGGGGGTTTAACCCAAAGAAAAAAGGAGATTTTTGGGGTTTAATTCATAAATAAAAGGGAAAAAAGTGGAATTTAACCCAGAAAAAAGGGGAATTTTGGGGATTTATTCTGAAAAAGAAGGAGAATTTGGGGGATTTAATGCAGAAAAAATGAGAATTTAGGGGATTTGTTCCAAAAAAAGGACAATTTTGGGGATTTAACCCCAAAAAAGGACAATTTGGGGGATTTAACCCAAAAAATGGAGAATTTTGGGGATTTAATGCAGAAAAAAAGGAGAATTTTTGGGATTTGTTCTGAAAAAGGAGAATTTGGGGGATTTATTCCAAAAAAGGGGGATTTTCCCCCAAAAAAGGAGATTTGGGGTTACCTGGCTGCCGCTGCAGGCGCTTGGGGCCGAGCCAGTTCCCGTAGGTTTCCTGCTGCGCCATCCCGAGCCTGAAAAGGGACCCCAAAAATGCTCGGGGACCCCA